GTCTCCACCAAGCACCGGCACCAGCAACCTGTCTCCACCACGTGCACGGCCAGCTCACCGCCAGCACCAGCACCGGCACCCAGCACCAGCAACCTGTCTCGAAAGCGCGCACGGGGGCAACTCATTGTTAACTGAAGTAAGAACCCCATAGCTTCGCTATCTGGGGAAAACACATGCTTAAAAGAAAAACACGCGCGTCAAAAGGACTCTTCATTCCAAACGCAAAAGCTCACAAAGCTCAGACGAGATACCGGCAAGTGAACTGTACATGAGCGAATCAATGCATTACGCTCGCAATGAACCTTCTGATCATCTTCCCTGATAGAAAGTTCATCAATTGAAGATTCAACGTGGCAGCTCTACGCAGGTGAAATGAAAAAACGAAAGAATCAAATCACAGCTGTACACGGCAATGAGTCTTCATAAATCATCTTCCATGAAAAGAAGTACATTCAGAGGAAAACTCATTCTTTGAGCAAATGATATCATTCCTGACAAAATGTATTCATAAGCTCAATGATATTAAAAACCTACCGCATAACACTCACTGCCAAGGCTCACCTGCCTAGTCCTCGGTTCTCACGTTGTCTGGCTTTTGGGCCCTGGTTCTTCTGACGCAAAGTCTGGCCCTATCTGCATTCGTTCTTCTCGGCGCTAGTGACTTGGGCAAGATGCAAAGTCATATACATGGGAGCGTGACCGTCTGTATCTCCTGGGCGAGAGCACGATGTCCTGATCAATGAGAGAACTCTTCGGAAAAGTTGACTCTATACTCTTGGGTATGGGCATCAGCTGCATAGAACTCATCATCGGACATAGTATGACGTCCCTCAAGCAGAATGGTTTCGCAACAGTCACCAGTCATCTCGAAACGAGAACGTTCACCTTCGTCCACGCTGTCCCAATCACGACCAATGGGTCCCTCACACTCCTTCAGACCTAAGGACGAACCAGAGTACCATGTCCTGCGAACTACCGGCTTTGCGTTTGCGCACATGGTGCTGTAGTGAGAGTTGCACATAGGTTGACTGGACGAACTAGAAATTCTATATGCACAACTGTTAGCATCACAGCAACCTGCTCACCTGTCAAGGCGTGACCCTTTATGGTCCTATGAGTATCTACGTCAAAGTTGCAGGTTCTCAATCTCTTCGATCGACATCGTTCCAGTGGAACTCGATCTTCTTCAGGGCCATAGTCTTCCAACTCATACTGCCGGTCCTTGAGCTCACTGCGCGGCCTTGTTTTGCCAAATCTGATTTCGAAAAAAGCCCATGTTACATCACGACGTGGACAGGTCCCTGAGCTTTGATCATGACCGGCAATCACTTTCACATAGCCGTCCGGCGCCAATCTTACCAAGACAGCTAAATTCTTCCAGTCGTGAAAACAAACGGACCTGTTGTCTTCCTGGAGAAACTCAACAGCTTCTTGGAGCTGAAGACAAACCACGCGCGCAGGCAAGTACAACAACATATTGAAAAATAGGTTATCATTCTCTTCCTTGTCGAGAACCAAGGGCCTCTGACTCCTGTACCTTGGTCTCATCAGTTTGTCCAAACCTGACAAGTATCGAGGAGTCTTGTACTTGGCACCTCTAGCCATCTCACCACAATTCCAACTCAACAAGGTGAGACCTAACGTTGACGACAATTTGCTTTTGACCTTCGGCTGTATCGCCTTCGAGGAAACTTTTGCGAATCTCCTCATAGAACTCGACAAAATCCCATCTTGGTCCCTTAGGGCCATAGGTGAGCATTTCTTCCTTCAAATCTTCCTTTGCGAGCTCAAGTGTCTGCTTGGCTTGCGTCGCCCGATTGAAAAGAACTTCAGGCACATGATAGCCAAGAGCACGCGTGAAGTCGAGTCTATCATCGTTCAAATGGTAAATCGCATCATCATCCTTTTCTTGGTAACACTTGGGAGGCGGCGCCTTCTTCAACTCGGCCACAGCTTCAGCACACGCGCGATCTGAGACGGAGACATAACTGTGCCAATGTTCCACAGGAACCTGGCGAAAACACATGCGATTCAAAAGATCACCATGTGTCTCTCGAAAGTTCATGTGGTAAAAAACCACATCCAGGATTGTCCCAGGCAAGCCTCAAACTTTGCCAAAGGAGATGTCTTCAATTCATTCGTTGCTGGAGAAGGCGAAGAAAGCATTTGCTCAGGTCCCGGAAGTTCCTTTTCCAGGCTGTCTTGCGCTCCCTTCTCTTCATCCATCTTTCGAATTTTGTTGACATTCTGCTTCATGTCCTCCACTTCGGCCTCGGTTGGATTGTCTTCAACAAAACGTGGATCATACATCCAACCTGCTTGGTTTCTGCGACCATTCTTCTTCTGAGAAGAAGGAGGCTTAGCTGAACCGCTCACTTGCTTC